CAGTCAAACACCCGTTGCCTTCGTAACATCCCCATATGTGCAGTTCTAAATTTTTCTTAAAATAAACCCTGCATTGAACACCTAACAATTCGATTTGTAAAGAATTTGAAAAATTTGGACTATGAATCTCCGGCCTCTAATTATAAATATTTTGTCTTCAATTTGGCTCATACTCAAAAGGATGCTCTGGCTGAAACGATTATAATAAAATGAAAATCGTGCTAATTATTTTAGAAGAGGTTAATTAATGCCACTGCATGATAATATAATCTCAACAATTGAACAGAGAAGTAATTAAAATTAATGTTTGACTAGTATACCCATTATACTCCAGTTATCGATTTTTGGAGTTTCACTTGTTTTGTATTTTATTAAAATACTCAGTGGTTCTAAAAATACCCAGAAGTATTATAATATTTGTCTATGCAATTATAAAACACGTTCCTATCATAAAACACGTGCCCACAAATGCCTATTTGATAAGCCATCAGGAAGAATCCAGAACATAATTTATATGAGTTAGAGTACTCCCTGCTAAGAAGCAGAGACTATTACGGGAACGACCATCTTGCCAAAAATAAAGACAGAAAGATTCCAACGATCGTTTTAAAATAGATGTCTCTTTGACTTTTTTAACTAGTAAAGTTAGTAAACTTTTTCAAACTTTTTCTAATTTTTAAACTTAATATATGAAAGACTAGTTTAATAAATTCTCTAACTAGTATCGTAACAAGTAGTAATATTTTAAAGTATATATCTGCAAATAAGTTTAATTTAATATCTTGTCATCTTTTGTAAAGTTACCGTCTGTTGTACCCAGTTGATAATGACTTATCATAATAATCAGTAATATATGAATTGGGGTGTACGATTTTACCTGCATTACAACATCGTGAATGTTAAAAAATTACCTTCAAATAATCTCTAAATTCGTAAAGGCCGGTCTGGGTGTGCTCCCCCAGAAAATTTTTACAGTTTTTAAGCTCGACGACCGCATTTCTGGTATATCAGGATATAAAGAATTGGTTATATTAACTAGCGTATATACTCAACAATTAAACACACACCATTTTTCTTGTATCATTTTAATGTCAACGTGTCCTTTATAAAAGTATTATTGTCTGAGTATGTTAATTATAACGTGATATATGGGAATTTGTAGAATGGTAATTGCTATTCGGAATGCGCTATCATTTTTTTCCGAAGATCACGACTTATTTAAATACATCTATATCATCCCGCCTCATATCTCATCCTGGCAAAGCTGGATCATAAAACAGCCCCTTACTCAGTAAATTGCGCATGCTGCCTTTGATCCCTTAGGGGTGAGGCAGCATATTCCTTGCAATAGTAACTTCTAGTATATAGCAATGTGTGGATCGATATCGTAGCGTTTCGTGCGGTATGTGATAATTACGTCAACAATTACCTTAGCTTACTATAGATGCATAATGCATAATCATGTATAAAACGTTTAGTATGAGTGTTTTGACTGCTTTTTCTATTTTTTATATTTTCAGACGGGAAAACTTGGCGCCAAGATAAAGTGCCGGCTCTAATTGGAAGCCGTGCCTATAGCAACAGATTAAAATAGCTCAGAACAAAATATTTACGGCTTTAAACTTTCGCAAAGTCCTTTTCAAAGACGACCATTTTATTTCGCCTCATCTTTACTCGCCCAATGAAGCTAGGGAAACTGAGGCGGACGTGTGACTATATAGTGTCGCTTAAGGCTGATTTCCACTGTTGCGTTTTTCATACGTAAAACTTTAAATCCGTTTAAATGTTACTTATGAAATAACCAAATAAATAAAGCAATAGAATTTAGTGTTCCGTAAGTTTTAGCATGCATTTGTTAACTTATTTGTAAAATATTTAAAAAATAGAAGGATTCAAAGTTTCACGTGCGTGTACGTGCGTATACGAAAAACGCAACAGTGGAAATCAGCCAGTCGCGACATCCTGTCCACTCTGAGGGAACGAAATTACAGCGGTGTTTCATTTCCCAGCTTCTTTTCATTTTAAATTAGTCTAGTGAGTCAGTGAAGCCTCTTTCGCTTGTTTTGCAACACTCTATACAACACTCTGCAACACTCGCACAGTGGACGTGCACACATACGTGCAAAATATACGTGACGTCTTCTGAATCAGCCCCCTCCCCCCCTCTCCATGCATTGTTAGATAATACAACAAAAATATACAACAAATATTTGCTAATCACAGCCGGTACGTGTTTCGGCCGGTATTATTGTACAGTCACACCACTAATGCTATTTTTCCTTATATTTTCAGGATGGCATTCTGACACAATCACGGACATTGTATATTCTTGTTTTAACTTTTAATATCGGATAATTAAGAGACCCCATGCATGGAGAATAAAAAAATTCTGACTGTATAGCTGTCACGTTTTAGGGGGAGTTTTATAACCAATTTGTATTTAAAGTTAACCTTAATCCTAACCTAACCCTAAAGCTACGTTTACACGCTGCGATTTGTCGGGCCGATTTTGGTAAATAATCGATGCCCCTTTTTCGACATTTAGCGATTTAAACGTTCAATTGAAGCTGTCCGCTCTCTCGTCTGTTCATATTATAGTTTTCTGCGTGCGAAAAGTTTTCAACAACTTTACAACGGAAGAAAAATCGTTGAATCGTGAGAAAAATCTGTGTTTTGTAACAGATTTTTCTCCCGATTTTGTGAATCGCAAGGTGCTGACGCGAGTACTCACGACAGGTTATTTACATACAGCGAACAAAATCGGCCCGACAAATCGCAGCGTGTAAACGTACCTTAACCCCTACTCTAATCCTAACCTTAATCTTAATCCTAACCTTAATCTTAATCCTAACCCTTTCCCTAATCCAAACCCTAACCCTAACAGTCTAAAAATAGTAACTCTCCCTAAAACGTGATTCATATATGTCTGACTGAACCAGCCCCCACGTTTATTGGTTCAATAAAAAATTTCTATAAGTTTTAGAAGATTTCTATACTATCAGAAAAGTTAAGAACAACTTCCTTGTCATTAATGGTTATAGATTTCTGGCTCTTTTGACTTTCGAAGTTCCGGCTGTTCAACACAAGGAAATGGAACCGCTATAACCGCAAAATTCAAAGCGCATCTGAAGGTAAGTTTTTACAAGTTTTCGACAGCTATAAATAGCTAATTCATGCGTCAGTTGTAGTGCACAAATTGGCCTAACTTCGAACAGCTAATAGATTAAATAGTTCCACCTCAAAATGCGATTCAATAGTAGCCGTTTGCGCCGGGTTGGCAATTTGGCAGTCTGCCGTAATCGTCAATTTTAAGTTCCATATAATAACTTGAAAATATCCTGTTAATTTCAGGGAGATAATTTGTAGTTATTTTGAATCCAATCTTATACTCTTCATTTAGAGTTGAATTTCGTTGGCAATATGTAACAGTATACAGCATACAATTAAGGGAGTTAAATGAACTCGCTGATTAACAGTGTTGTTTTACATAAAAAATATTAACTAAACAAAATATTGGCTGCATGTATATGCTTGATTGTTGAAATAAACGTTTGCTTGTTTTCGTTTATATTGATGTAGTTACACATTTATCTCCTTGTATGGAGGGTTATGAAAGCGGATAAATGGGAGTTGGAATTTTTCTATTCACTGGGATAGGGAATATTGAGAGTTTAAAAAATCGGTGAGTCGGATATAACAGAGATTCAGAAACTTTTTGGCTATGCTTGAAATCTGCCGTTCACAATACACTGCATCACAATACTTCGTATGTCACAATGTCAATGGATGGCTGACCACTGCTAAACTTTCTTACTCAAGTCGGCAAAAATTCAACCAAATCCTTAATTTATTCGAAAATATCATCCAGCAGTAATTTCCCATCGATATATACCAACTCAATAAGTACATTAGCAATAAACGACCCCTTTCAGCTTTGGCGGCAAGCAAGCATGCAGTAAAACAATGTCATTACTGACTTAAACTGTTATATAGTTCACTTCAAGTTGTGGTTCACAGTAATTATTTATCATATGCTGACCACTCAGCGAAAACTGAAGTGTCAATTAACTGATAAAGTAACTCCTAACAAAGTAAACTGAGTGCACCCCATGCCCAATATCATGCTAGTTTCGGTACTGTATATTGTTGGTCACTGAATATACAGCTCCAACACAAAGAATTATTTTAGACACATGAACAATTAACTGGCTGGCATGGTGTTAAGGCCCTGTCACACTATTGCGGCGTATGAAAGAAACGTACGAGAAGCGTATGAAAAATGAAATAATTTTCATACGCACAAAATTACAAAAATCCCTTGAAATGCCAGCGTATGAGTATACCGTAAATCTGGCGTACGCTCTATAGCGTATTCAGCGCGTGCCTAGGGTATGCTTGTCGTATAAACCATACGTCCGAATACGCACAAAATTTTTAAGCATGCTTAAAAAAAATATGTTTCTGTCTCGCTGTATGCCAGCGTATGCGACCGTGCTTGAAACGTATATTATATAGATATTTTGATATTTTTCATACGCTGGTATACGCTAGTACGATATGACAGTGACTTAACATTGTCTATACTATATGAAATATAAGTATACTGGTAACAATGACATTTTCATTTAATCTGTATCTGGTATCAATGATTCTCGCTTTGAACATGCTATGGGTCGTTCCAGCAACATTCATACCTCCCCCACGGAGGAAATTACATGGAAATGAACCCCCTTACCCCTTCGACACTTACTATTATCAGAAACAAAAATTTCTCCCCCTCCCCTTCCGATATGGCAGAACAGTTCCTCTGTATACATGTAGATCCTTTCTGGAAGGACCCAATACGTGCAGTGACGGTGTTTTGATATAACACAGCAATTTGTATATAAGTGCTTTGACTGATTCAAGCTCTGTTACCATATTCGATTCCTGCGATAGTTATCGGGCAAAGAATATGGTATTGCAAACTGGGATTTTTTCTTATAACTTATATATCTTATCAGTAATTTTCTGCCGTCTAAGAATATGTCTAAGAGGACTTCATGCACATTCCACTCTACCAAACAGATCTAAATGACTAAAATATATTGATAGTATAGAATTCCCACATATAATGCGTCATATAGATTATAGCTAGACAATTTAGTTTTGAAGTAAAGACCCCTTGGCCTTGTACACCATCGCATTGGCCAATCATACAACACCAAGTGTCTCGAACTGTCGCATGAGGGGGTATGGAAATACGTATTTTCTTTAAAAGGTACGAGGGAGTCGTGCGGTTTGTACAAAGGGCCGTGGGTTCATTGTGGATCGTAATCGCCATAGTTAATCACCGAGCAATTAAATCGTGAAGTGCATTTCTATAAACATATCGCTCACACTACCGAATGAGCACAGTTGCAACAACACTGTCCACTAGTGAAGAGCTCAAGCCGGAACACCTTACAGGAACTTAGAAGAGATTTGCTGGCACCATCCTGATATATATCACAGAAAAATATGGCTGGGAAATTTTTACAAATTTGGTCACTGAGAAGTGTCGCAAAGACCATGGCTATGTTAGTCATTGTAAGTATATATAGCATTTATAGCAGTTGACTAGGTCTATATCACATTGAATTTTGTGCCTGATTTTTTACCGATTATTTATTTCATGGCTTTTTCATGTGGAAAGCATGTGGTAGTATATGCCATCATTATATATTAGAAAACAAGCTTATCGAAATATAGTAACAAAAAGTAGCATGAAAAACTTATTGTATATTCACTTCATTGGTTACCTATAAACTGTGCACGGTATATTATAGACTATAGTTATATTTGACAAATAACTTGAAATTGAAATAGAGTCGAAATGGATAATTTTGCGCCTAACTACAACTATACTGTTAATTCTCATATCTTGAATTCACCACAAAATGTGGTATTGCGGCAAACTGAGGTTTTTTCTTATATATCTTATCAGTAATTTTCTGCTGTTAAAGACTTGTAGCCTCCGTGTTGTAAAAGCATGCGCCTAGGCTAGTAAAAGAAATCCTGAAGGGGACTTTTAGTGCGGTGCGTCCGCATAATTAAAATAAAACTTATTTCTGCTGAAATTTAATTTGTTATTCATGAAAAGAAATTTAAATAATATATTAGTATTAGCTATTGCTTATATATAGGTGACTTTTTTTTACAGTCGGTTGGGTATTGCATGCGTGCAGGCGAGGGACATTTATAAGACCAATCATGCCATCATGGTATATCATTGACTGAGTTTTAATGACGTCTTGTTTTCAGTCAGGGAAAAAATTAGCCAGGCATCTACAGGACGCTTGAAGTTGTAGATATTGCGATGAAATATGAACTTCCTAAAACAGCAATGTTTAAATTGACTAAAAAAGAGCTCTATAAGTCGTTTTTCCGTCAGTGATATTGGTTGTTCAATTTTCGTTTTCTAAACATAGATATGTTTTCAATACAATATCCGGCTCACATACAACCGAAACAAACGATACATTGTGTGATTGATATTGGTTCACCATTCCGGCCGGCTTAAGGAAAAGACTTAAGACGGACTTCAAAAATCAAGGCGGAATTAAAACATGCGATGCATAGGTGTGCTTTCACCAAGCGCTATTGTTTAGCAGATCGTGGTCAAGCGCAGCGGTGATCACAAAAAGAAAACTACGGAGCGCTCTCAGAGACCACTCTCCTCCGCAGAGGCTTCGTAGTTTGTTTTCTTTCTATGAGTTTGTTTTCTTTCTCTATGAGTTTGTTTTCTTTGTACAGTATATAAAGTTTGACTTGCGGGCAGTAGCGGACTAGGCAGAGAAGTGGGCTTGAGGGGGTAGCGAACGCGCGGGGTTAAAAGGGGGCATCGTGGACATTTGGCCGGCCGCAAGTCAAACTCATAGAAAGAAAACAAACTACAAAGCCTCTGCGGATGAGAGTGCTCAGAAACTGCATACCTTGGTCCTCGGCCAACGAATTAAATTACGTATCATGCATCAAATACAATGGTCTAATTACGTGTTCATTTTACTCTGCCAAAGCAAGACAAACATTTGCTGATTTCTCATCCAAATGTCATACAAATTGAATCAAAATTTAATGAAGTTGTCCTTTGGGCAATGTTCATTAGCCCTACAAATTTTCGCATTAATACGTTTGATATTTTTTAAGTTATCGCATACCGAAAGACAGACAGACCTGCACACGCACACGTACACGAATGAAATTATGAAAACGTAAGATGATAAAGTGCTTTTTTTATTGTCTAATTGTATTTTGAAGACAAAAATATAGAAGTAAGAGATATATCATTTAACTTGTATCAACAATCAACATTAAGTTGATCACCATACGACTTATTACGAGTGTTACCCACTATATACTGCAGCTGTCTAAAACCTGGTTTCCATATTGTCGTAACGATCGTAAAGATTGATTTCTCAACAGCTGAAATACCAGCAACAGTTTAACACTGATAATAGGCAGAGTGATTATAAATAGCGAATACTTATGACCTATATGTGGTTTACAGGTAAAACTATTATAATCTGGCCGTTGAGAAAGATCGCAACTCTATCTTTGCGACAGTTTCAGGCACCAGCAATATATCACGCGATGATAGAAAAGATCTTATCGTCATATTTGGTCGTAACCTGACGTCAATATACGATCACGGTGGTGAGGGAGTTTCGGGGAGTATAATTAAGTTTCGATCATTTCAATTTCTATAGGATACGGCCAATTACATCCAAAGATAAATATTTGCATGGGAGTTAGGTGCACGAAAAATCACTCGTATATTAATGGCTATATGTACAGCGAATAGAGAGTTAAGCTGATTACGCCAACGTAGCTACGGATGACGAAGTTATTGAGAGAATGAATAGCACAGATATAATCAGAACGGGGGAGTTTTAGGCTTCGGGTTCTGTTAGCACAGCTTACGGCTGTAGGTTCTGCTTATACCGAGGTAAAATACCTATTTCACATCAATAAACAACACTGTGAACAACACGATGTTGTTTCAAGCTGTATAACAAGTATATAGTTTTCCAAACAAACTTAGGAAGCATCTCTAAACTGTATTGGTCCAGTGCGGTCTTCATAAAGACAATCGCCATTTGAGCGATGTTATTTAATGTTATAATGGCAAGGACAACCAAAGATGCCGGTTTTGTGGTTTAGATACAGTAATGGGAAACATATTAGTGGTAAAATAGCTTGAAGGAGTTCCTATTTCACCGCCATGTTTAATAATCTATCAACTAGTTCAACACATTCACGAACTATTTCAATATTTGAGCGATTAGAAAAACATCGTTCAAAAGGTGACCTTTTGAAATTGTATTTAATTCATTACGGTGGACAACAAGGAAGCGTGGAGATTTCTATAGAGTTTATTTCGCCGTTGCATTCACGTTGG